CGAGACCCCCCCCGCAGCAGCGGGTCCATAGCAATGGCCCAGACAGAGCCAGACAGCGGGCGGCCTTGCATCACCCCAGATTGCAAGTAAAACATGAATTGCTGTTCACCATTGACAGCCGCGAAGCTCCGCGGTGCAAAGTAAAAAAGCAGAGATCAGGCTGCGATATCCCTCGGGCAGGCCAAACGGGCAAGAACCGCCCAGAGCCAATCATGGCCCAGCGATGGAAAGGCAGCAGCAATGTCGAATGCGATAAAGACTGGAGAGTCCAGAGCTGCCGTTTCGCGAATGCTCGAACGCCTCGCAGCGGTGCCGAGGCGCGTTAGGTTACTCAAGCAATTGCGGCGCGGCACGAAGCCCTGCTGGACCTCATGCGTGCGCTCCTGAACGAGCCTCTCAAGCTTGTGGTTAGCGGCCGCCGCGAGAATCTTGGCATCCGCATTGCGCAGCGACAGAGGCCGAACCTGCGAAGGCTGCCGAATGCATTCGTAAGCACCCAGTGGTTCAGAGCCCTTGGGCAAAAACGCATAGAAGGAGTCATTCAGAGAACGCGGAGCATAGTGGCCTGCCATCAGATGTTTCAGGGGCCCGTGGGGCACGCGGAGCAACTCGTCGGAGACCGTCCAAGCCTTGTAGGGGGGCCCATCGGGACCAGGGGCGCTGCGACGCACGCGTTAGAGCGTCTCCTGGAGGTCCTCGAAGCTCGGAGCGGGGATGTCGGCCGCGTCGAAGGCCGGGTAGCGTTCATGAAGACGCTGTTGAATGTCCAGCTTGCTAGCTGGCTTCGCCCGCAAGACATCGGCCCAGTGGCGCTGAAGGGGCTCGAGGATCTGAGATGGGGCCTTCCCCGCAGCGGGCTCCTCCGAACCCATCGCGTGCTCAGGGCGAACGCCAGAAAAGAACAAGACTCCTTCCCTTCGGTCTCCATAGTAGGGCACGGCGGCGGGCAGCCTTCTGACGTTTGAAACGAGCAGCAGCACCAAGAGCGCCCCCAGCGCGCTGAGCCGTTGCGCAGCCTGAACCGCACGATGATGAGCAACCTCAAGTTCATCAGCATGGAAAGAACGAAACTGGCGCCGAAATTCGCCATGACGAAGCAATCGAACAACTCCGCTTTCCAATTGGAAAAACCGCGAACCTTCCGATGTAGAGGACATCAGCAGCGGCGCCAACTCAGTATCCTGCCGCCTGACCGCCCGGGAAATGCTCCTCATGGTGATCGATCGGCCACCCACCGCGCGGCGATCTTGAAGGCGAAAGGGCAGCCGCTGCAGTTCATCACGCGTCGGACGCGCCGCCTCAATCACGAAGTTCTTCGTGTAGGGCCATTGCTGGACAGGGGAGAAGCGATCCAGGTCAGCGGCCGCGAGGGGCCAGTCCACAATTTCCTTGCACCTTCCGTCGCAGAAGACCACATCAGGGATGCGGCGCTCCGCGGCGCGACTTGGAACCGTGGCGCATGGCGAGGCAGAGCGTGGAGAGATCGCTCAGCCGGGACTGCGACGTCTCCATGGGGTCAGCGTCAACGGTGACGAGAACATCAGTGTCCAGGAGGAAATGCTCTGGAATGCCGATGAACGCGAGATCAATCGCGGAGGCCGTGTAGTGCTGACGACTGAAGTGCGCGGGGATCGGCGAGCGAATCTCTTGGGCGAGGTCGAAGAGCGGGCGCCAGAACGTCTCGAGCGACTGGTAGTTGCGCGACGCGGAGAGCGCACTCGTCATCGGCAGGGGCTCGTCGTAGCTGCAAGCGCTGCCGTCGCGAATGTTGAAGTCGCCCGTTGCCAAGAAGACGCGTAGCATGGCGTCCTCCGCTTTTCAAGTCACAGCGACGCGCCAGTACTGGTCAACCGCGCGGCGGCCTAACTCAGACATGCCATAGTTGTGCACGTTGAGAATCCTGTAGACGGCGCCGCAAACAGGGTGAGACATCCCCAATGCAGCAACGCGCCCAGGGACCAGAGGACGATGCAGAACCACAGGTCGAGCCCCATCGGGTAGTGCCCGCGGCCATGGCACCAGGAAAGCGACGCCGCCCTCACGCGCGGCCTCGGCCTGGGAGTGGAAGACCTTGCACGGGCAGAGAGAGCTGGCTATCAGGACCTTCAGTTGCATGCACACTCCGTGGCGCTCGTGAGTGAGCAAGAGGGCACCCCTTCCTCACGTGCTTCTCGAGCTTGGCAAGCTTGCGCCCCCTCCGCCGCCGCTGATAGCAGCAAGGACCTCGTGCGTTCCAGCTGACCACATACGCGCCCGAAGAACTGGGGGGGAAACAACACGGAGCCCGGCGAGGGCTAAATAGACCACAGCGAGGTATCTGTCGCACGAAAGAGCCGCTGGAACTCGGCAGCGATCGCAGCCTTGTCAACGTTAAATCGGTGAAGAACTTGCCCATTCCAACGAAGCCGCGTGCTACCTGCAGCAGCGGGGCCGATCTCGGGCGCAACGACCGGGGCCGCGTCGATGGAGATGATGCCTTCGTCGCCAACACGACGGAAGTGATGTTTGGGAAGCCGCTCGGCAAATAGGCGAACCAGACGCTTGGACTGTAGTTCTCGCCTGAGCTGTTTGGGCGACTTGTCTGCGTTGATGTAGGGCGGCGCGATGGCTCCAGACGTGTTCGGAGCAGAGAATGATCTCCACTGGCCTCCCGAGCACAAGTTGCGCGCGAGCGAAGTACTCCTCGATGGAGCTGCAGGTCCACCCAGAACTCGAAGGAAGAACCTTCGCGAGGGGACATCACCAATGATCTCGACGTCAGTGAGGGAGACACCTGCTGCTGTGATCCATGGCTCCAAAGAGCGACGGACTTCAGCAGGTTCGATAGCCGAGGGCGCCCCGATGCTGTAGAGGTGCGGATCGGGTGGTCGATCCCAAACAGCGAGTACAGCCATGTCGAGCGGCGGGAGCGCGGCCTCTGCCATGGCCAGGGAAAACTGAATGCGCTCGGTGTCCGTACGAAGCTGCTGCTGCTCCTGCTCGACCAGCTGCGTGCGACCGCCGAGCTCACGAAGACTGGTGTCGAAGGCGTCGATGCGGCCACGTTGTTGGTGCACCTGCGAGATGACCAGCTGGAATTCACTCTGGAGCGCGGTCGTCGCTGACGGCGTGATGGCGGTGGTTTCTTGTTGAAGACGTTGGGTAACCCTTTGCATGTGGTCTGAGAAGACGGCAGAGAGGCGCTCCTCCATCTCGGCAGACTCTGGAACATGTAGCCGCTGTCGGTCAGGTTCGCGAGAGGGTGGTGCAGACCGCTCGTGTCTTTGCCAAGGGTCACTACGGTGTAGCGGGTCCTCTCCAGCACGTCGCTCGTCATTAGGAAAGGTCCTCCCACGCACGGTATACCTGTGCGTCATTTGCTTGTTGGCGCCGTAGCTGTCGATCTCGAAGTTGTGTGGCGAGTCCTCCAGAGGTGCCAGCTCGGCGGTCTACGGGGGTGAACTGTCGATCGTCACGAGGCGCCCTGCGCTGACGTCGTTGACCACGATCGCTGCGGGAGCCACTGGCTTCTCCTTCTTGACGTCGCTGTCGACGACGATCAGGAACCCGCGCGGGGCTAGAGGAGGACCTCGAGCTGCCGCTTGAAGCCATAGCGTAGAACACTGTCGTGACCACAACCACGGAGCGGGGCGAACCGCAAGAACACGAAGGGCAGCAACCTCACCACCACGGAAGAGACAGCAAACCAAGATATGGAGGAGATGGAAAGCTGGTGGGCGGCAGTTCGCCCCTGAGTGTAGCTGCGTGAACGAAAGAGCTCTGAACTGGAATGGGAGCCTACCCCCGCTTAGGCAGTGAAATGCACCATCTTGGCTACTTGGGCCAAAATGGCTACGGATCAATGGCGATGATGATGACGATGATGATGACGATGATGATGATGGTAGTGATGATGAGGATGTTGACGATGACGATGCCAACGACGAGGCTGACGAGGACGATTACGATCACAATCATGATGATGGTGACGCAGATTATGACAATGATGACGAAGATGAAGTGATGCTTAAGAAGAAGAGGGTGAAGATTTTGATTAGGACACAAGTGACGAGTTGGCAGGACGTCGATGACGACGACGTCGATGGCGGTGACGATGCCGACGACGATGCTGACGACGACGATCATTCTCATAATGATGATGGTCACGGTGACGGTTCTGACGATGGTGATGACAACGATAGCGACGATGACGACGATGACGATCACGATGACACGGGGCAAATTCTGTACACAAAAACAAATTTTGTACCGAATTTCCCCGCTGGAGTTTTCCACGGGTTGGGATGCCTGCAGTCCCATTCAGATGATTTTAAAATGTCGACGACGTTGACGGTCTGGCAGGAAGACGATCACGACGACTATAGCTATGATGCTGCTGCTGATGCTGATGAGGATGCGGAGGATGAGGTTGAGGATGAGGATGATGTTGATGATGATGGTCATCATCATCATCATCATCATCATCATCATCATCATCATCATCACCGTCATCATCATAATCATCATCATCATGATCATGATCATGGTCATGGTCATGATGATGATACACTCAGTTTCCCCTCAGTCTCTTGCATCAGAGGCCGTGTGCAACTGAGGAAGGAGGAAGAGGGAGGCGGAGCAGCGGAGGAAAGGGTGACAATGGGGGGGGAAGGAAGGCGTTGATACTGGGGCGCCCGCTATTGTACTCAAGTCCCCCTCAATTGCTTGCATCCGAAGCCGTGTGTGACTGATGGAAACGGGGTGCAACAGGAAAACTTACTGAAACTAAAGGAAACTGAATGTAACTGAGGGGCCTGAGGGAAACTAAGTGTAACTGAGTGTAACTGGGAGAAGCTGAGTGTCACTGAGGGAAACTGAATGCAACTAAGCGTAACTGAATATAGCTGAGGGTAGCTGAGTGTAGAGAGCCGGCGCCGCCCGACGTCGCGCGCGGCCACAATGGAAAGGGGAAGAGGTGGAGGATCCCAAGGAAGCCGCGGCAGGCCCCGCAGCTAGACGACCTCGCAATATGCGGTGCCCTGGTTTCCCTCCGTGGTCACCCAACCAACGGCTCCGTCGCCTTTCACCTTGGCCTTCATCCGCAACAGCCCGGACTTCTCCTCTTTCCTGGGCCACTCGTATACCTCTAGCAGCTCTCCCTCGCGGAGCTTCCTAGTTGTATCCTTCAATCTTCTCCTCGACTCCGAGTCTTGGTCGAGCTCGAAATCGTCCGTAAGGATGGTGTCCTTGAGATATAGACCCTGGAGAGCCTAGGCTACCCTAGGGCGGCTTACCGAAGGCCCTAGGCTTGCCTAGGGTAGGGCCTACTGAAAGCCCTAGGCTTGCCTGAGGTAGGGCCTTCTGAAAGCCCTAGGTTTGCCAAGGGTAGGGCCTACCTAAGGCTCTAGGGTAGCTAGGAGTAGGCCCTAGAGGTAGCCCTATGGTAGCCCTAGGCCGAAGGGTAGCCCTCGGGTACCCCCAGTGGTAGGCCCCAGGGGTAGCCTTAGGGTACCCCCAGGGGTAAGCCCTACGGGTAGCCCGGGGGCATCCTCCTCCGTCCCCTCCTTCGATCCAAAACTTCACCGCCTCCCCCTCCTCCTCCTCTTCCTCCTCCTCGTGCCCTTCCTCCTCCTCCCCCTCCTCCAACCCGAAGCTCGTCGTCGTCGTCCTCCTCCTCCTCCTCCTCCTCCTCCTCCTCCTCCTCCTCCTCCTCTTTCTCCTCCTCTCCCTCATCCTCTTCCTCCTCCTCTCCCTCCTCCTCTCCCTCCTCCCCCATCCCCCTGTTTCGTCCTCCTCGTTCTCGTCCTCGTCCGCGTCCTCGTCCTCCTCCTTTTCTTTCGCCTAACTACGCCTCCCCCTCTTCTTCCTCCGTCCGTCCTCCTCGATCGCACAAGGGAAGGGGTCCCGTGCGGGCCCACGGCAGGCGGGCCGGGCAGGGCGACAGGGACATTAAAGTATGCTGTGTCGCGTCAGCATTTGCCTGGCACGCGAGCGCCCATGGCGGGCGGGCTGGGTCGGGCGGGCTGAACATTAAAGTATGTCGTGGTGCATCATCATATGCATGGCACGCGATCACCCGTGACGGGCGGGTAGCGCGTCCGTGGCGGCGCGTGTCGGGTTGGGCGGGCGAGACATTAAGATATGTTGTCGTGCACCCCCCTTTGCCTGGCACGCGGGCGCCCGTGGCGGGCGGGCTGGGTCGGGCGGGCAGGACAGTAAGAATGCTGTGGCGAGTCCTCCCATGCCTGGCAGGCGCGCTGCGGGGCGGACGGGTCGCGGGTCTGGCGGGCGGGTCGGATCGGGCGGGCGGAACATTAAGGTATGTTGAAGTGCATCACCATTTGCCTGGACTGCGTCGGGGACCCCCTTCGGTGGTTCCCCCCGGCCCCCCCCCTCGGGCTCGGGGACCCACCCTCGGGGACATCCTTGGCGACCTCCCCTCGAGGACCTCCTCTGTCTGCCAAGGATCGCTGAAGACCGGATGCTGTCTTAGCGTGCGCGGCTTGTGCGAGAACAGGGCCTGCTGCCGGCCTCAGAGCAACTGCTGCTGGTCTGAGAGCAAAGAGCAAAAGCTGGTGCGAAGAGGATTGTCGGTGCCAGAGAACAGAGCCAAGCCTGAGAGAACATGCAACTGTGAGTGAATGAGCGCCTCTTTCCTTTCCTCTTCCTCCAACCTCCAATATGTAGCATAACTATGCGCACTCCAAATTGTAATATACATTGTCAAACCCACATGCATAAATCAGACATCGACGCACGCTGTGGCAACACCCAGCCGGCTGTGACATAACTTATCCCACAAAGTGGGTAAGGCATCCAGAGTGTATGTTGTGCAAGCTTTGCAGCGTGGCACGCCGTAGTGGTGAACGATTATCGCGATTCCCAACATTTTGTTCCTGGCTTGTTTTCCTTTTTTTTCCTTTCCAGCACAAATGATGCGAAAAGGGATGGCACTAGATGCTCGAACGGCTGCCGTGGGCAGGGAGGCATATGGCTCCCTACCGCCACGTTCTCCCAGAGACTCCTGTTCCCTACTTGGGTCCTCGTTCTATGCGCAGTGGTGGCCCCTAAACAAAAAAAAAAAAAAAAGGCCCGCAGCCTGAAGCCTGCGCCCGCTGCGTCACGACGCTTCGCTTAGCAGAGCACGCGCCTTAGAATTTTCAGCGCCTCGTTGGATCCATCGCCTTAAGAGCCTCCCGGTCGAGCCTGCACTCGGCGCCCCGTGGAACCGGACGTGGTTCGTGGTGCGGTACACCCCGTAGATCGCCAGGGCCAGTCTTGCAGCATCTTTATCCGGGTACTCCTCGTCGAGGAGAAAAAACGTAAGCTTTGAGGGTCGCCGATCCACGCCCAAACCGAGTAATGTTCGACACTGTCACACCCTGCCCGGCAACCAAGCAAGCAGCGTGATACCCCGTCCGCCCCATCTGCCGGCGCCGTAGCATGTCTCATCCTACGCTTGGTCACCCAACCGTTGTAAATCGTACGTAAGTATGATGCCGCAACCCTCGGCGGGCACCCAAGAGTGCACGATGTGGAATGCCCGCGAGACCCGGCCTGCCAGAACGTCTCCAGGCACCCCAAAGCCCCACCTGCACAGCTTGTGCGGGAGACGGTGCGCCGGCGCAGGGTAAAGCGCTTTCTTGACCAAGTCAGCAACTATGGCCTGGAAGTGCACGCCGGCCCCCTGGGCTGCCTTGTCTGCCAGTGCGCGGACTTTGCGGCGAGCCACTCCGGAGCATTCAGCAACATGTTCCGCCCGAGCGAAGCGCGCAAAGTATTCAGCAACATGCAAACTCCGGAACGTACCAAACGGACCAGTGAGGAATCTGTCGTCCAACTGTTCAAGTTCTTGGCATCGTTCGCGGCAGTCTGGTGCCACTTGGTCGATGACCCGAAGTTTCGCTGCCAAGGCGACGCAATGTATATTCGTGAACGAGTACTTGAAGCCGAACGTTTCCCTCAAGCTGTAGAGATCCTCGGGCAGGATCCAAAAGCCAGGGCCAGGGACAAGACGCCGCAATGCCCAAGGAACTAGTTTTTCCAAGGTAACTGGGATATCTTCCAACTGCATGATAAACGACAGCACGGAACAAATAAACGTAATTATTGTATGCTAGCGTGGACATGAAAAGGCCGAGGTGTCGAGGGGCCCAACATTGCACTCTGCTCAAAAACTTCTCGACCGGCTTCTCCCACGACTTGAGGCCGGCACCAGGTCCAATCCAAAATCCAAGGTATTTGCCCGCTGAACACACTGCGATGTCGCGCCAAGCCGGCGCTGATTCCCGGATTAGGCCTCTGACGTTGGACTCAGATGCGTACTTCCACAACGGGATGAACACCGTTTTCTTGATGTTCAACGCGAGGCAGGAAATCGACTCAAATTCTGTGAACAGCTTTGCAATCACTGGTATCGATATCCCATAGTCGCGAACTGCTGCCGCGGTGTCATCGGCAAACGCTCTCGCCACTTCGTGCCCCGATAAGTGCATCGAAACTTCACGAAGAAGAATGTCAGCACAAATTGCGAACAATAGTGGCGATAACGGGCATCCCTGCCGAACGCCGCTCCTGACAGTGATGCTGCTGAAATGCTGCGAACATATTTTGATTTTGTGTTTGTTGTCATTGGCAGCACTGGCAAAGCACATTTGATGTGCAAACAACCGACGGGGCGCTCGGGCAGAGGTGGTTGGATCGTTTGCGCGGGATCTTATCTACCACTCTCTCCGACCTCACACCGACGATTGAGGACGTGGACGCGGTGCTGGCCGACCTTCCTTCTTCGGCGCCCGGGCCCGATGGGGTGCCATTTGTGGTATTCGGCATCACGCGCGCGGTTCTTGCACCGCTGTTTTACGACATCGTGTTAGGAATGCTACGGGGCAGTGCCGTTCCTCCCGAGGACTTCAACTATGCTTTTCTGATTTGCTTACCCAAGGGTTCTGGCTCGGCGCTCCCAGACGGCACAGAATGCTTCGAGGCCGGCAACACCAGACCCCGGTCTGTTGTGGACGCCAGCGACCGTATCATCGCCTCCATTTTCCGGGTAGTCTTGGACCGCTCTGTGGCTCCACGGATTTCGCCGACGCAGCGCGGTTTCATCCGAGGGCATCATATGCTCCGCAATGTCTTGGACATCGATTTTGCGGCGCAGAAGATTTCAGTCACTTCCAAGAAGGGTGCGATTCTCCTTTTCGACTTCCGGGCTGCATTCCCGAGCATCGATCACACATTCATGTGGGAGGTGTTGTCTGCGGTTGGCTTACCCATGGAGTTCGTTAACATGCTCAAAATGTCGCGCTTCCCAACAATTACACGTAATGCCGCATCGATAGCATATGGGCGGGCACGCCCAAAATGTAGCAGCAGTCAACTTTAGCATGACATAAATGCCTTTTGGCACGCTGGGTTCCTGGAGGGATCTGGTGAAAACTGTGCACTGGAGCTCTTTGACCTCATCCGTCTCTGTTCGTCCTGGAGCTGTCGACCCCATGTCGGGACCGCGGGGCCCTTCTCACCAAACACAGCAACAAGCTCAACACTGATCGTTTGGATCTGTAGCCTTTTAGGCACAAAGACTCGGCTCAATAGAGTCCAAATGAAAAGATCTCTGCCGCGCGCGGAGCGGCCGACCGGCCAGCCCTGCTCGGCGTTCGCAGATTGTGAGCCCACCGCTGTGGGAGATCTGCAAGTCGCTCTGCCTGGTGGCGCGGGCCCGACCTGCGGGCCCTGATGCGCGTCGAGTGCCGCAGCGGCGTGCACGAGGATTGCGCCGTGACCGTGCGCGACGAGCTGGCGCATGACCGTCGCCTTGGCGGAGGCGGCCGCTATGCTGGCGCAGCGCGGCGGCGAAGCAGCCAGGTCGGCTGCGGCAGCGATCGCCATGAGCACGCTGCGCTTCGGCACCGGCCTCGTGCGCGGAGCTGCTACCACCCTGCAGTCGGCGCGCCCCGCCCTTGAGCCGGCGCCGCTGGACACCTCTTTGGACTCGATCCCAGCTGAGAATACGAGCAGACCTCTCCTTGAAAATCTTCTGGGAGATCGGAAAGACCCTTCGGACGAATTCCTTCTGGCCAGTGCTTCTGCGCCCGCGGCCGCGGAGCCAGGCCAGCAGCCGCTGGACGGTGGCGTTCCCGCACCTCCGGCGGCTGTTCTGGCCAACCCGCAGCACGGCGCAGGCTTGTGACGCCCGAGTCGTGACGGCCTTGGACTCACTGGCAAGCCAGATGTCCTTTCCTATCGCCAAGGCGAGCACTCTGGAGGAGCACCTCAACGACGTGAACGCGCGGCTCCACGAGGCCGAGGAGCAGATCCAGGAGGGCCGCCAGAGGGCCGCAGGGGCCCAGACGCACGTCATCAACCACACGAGCGACGACGACTTTTTTGCGGATGCTGAGTCCGAGTGGCACAGATGGCCGACCCCCCTGCAGAACGAGACCGTGGAAGGATCCATGGTTCAGGCTGGAAGTGCCAGCGGCGCCGCCGCTTCCCAGCCGGTGGCGGACGTGATCCGTCAGCCCGCCGCAGGCCCCCCAAGGCGAGAGGAGGTCTGGATTCTTACCTCGGCTCTGGCGCACGGCGCGGCAGCCAGCAGTCAGGGGATAGCAGCAGGAACGCGCGTCCTCCAGCAGCCGCAGAAGCCGCCGTCGCGATTCATCGCGTGGCCCTGCGCTCAGACCCCGCCAGAACCCACGGGCAGCGGGACAGCGCTCACGAGCAACCGGGCGGGTCTGACTGGCCAGCAGATCGCCCCAGACGCCGTCGACGCTGACGCGCGCGGCGCGAATGCCAGAGAAGGCATAGAACAGCAGCCCGCGGCAGGTGGCGTCACCGCACCACCGGCGGCCGGCTGGAAAACTATATACCAAGCTGAACGAACCCATGGCCGCGGCGGCGTTGAAGGCCCTGACCGACGGCCTCCGCTCCATGGCGCCCCTGCCACCGCTTGACGGCAAGACAGACAAGAAGCGAGTGAGAGAGTGGCTGTATGTACGGGGCAAAACTTGTGGTGCAGGCCGTGAGCCTCGAGTCGGAGACATTGTGGGCGTGGGCCGAAGGCGTGGCCTCCCGCGCCCATGCAGAGCTTCTCCGATCCAGCCCGTGGCAGAGGGCCCAGGTAAAGTATAAAGGTCACGGTGCCCACGCCCCAACGGTGGCGCCCAACAGAATCGAGACTGCGCCCTTTGGTGCTGGCAGCCGCTCCTGGGCACATCCGCGATACCGTCTTCGCGTGCGGGCTGCAGAGCATCGCGCGCGAGGTCCCCATGTTGCTGTTCGAGATCCTCAAGGATTTCGCGCCAGGGGGCATAGAGGGCCTCCCACTGCCTTGGCTTCGCAGCGGAACCTCTTCTGCCTCTCCCTCACCCCTGGCCGCGCGCAACGGCAGACGGCCGCAGGTCTCACATTCGTGAGCCAGGAACGCCTTTGGGAGGCGAGCGAGATGTTCGGCAGCGGCTTTGCAGCCCGCTGCACACGATGGATGGGGACGAGGGGCAAAAAGAGGCCAGGCCATTGCCTTCCACGTCTCCGGATGCCGGCCAGCAGCCCGTCACCCTTCATGCTATCGCGGAGCTCTTGGACAAGAAATTCGACGAACGACTCCGACCCGTACTTGACACAGTTCGGGAACTACAGGACGACGTAGCACGAGTGGAGGCTAACGTTGACAACATGTTCGAAGGCATGGTGGAGAAGAACGCGGAGCTGTTGAGCAAGATCGAGGCTGTGAACGAGGACCTCCAGAAGTTCAAGGAAACAGCGACGCCTCAAGGAGCTGGGAGGGAGGGGAACCCGCAAGACACGCGACTCCAGCATGACCTTACACAGCAGATCGCGCAGCTGGAGGTCCAGAGGCGCACCCTCACGCAGAGTGGAACCGACGACACCAAGTTGATAGCCGCCTTCGGAGGGCTTGAGAGCTTGGGGGACAAGTGGACAGCGTCCAAATGGATCAAAGACCGACTGTGGGAACGATATGTTGTCCCAGCCACCGAGTACTACGCGAAGGGGGACTTTAAAGGCCTTTTGTTTGCGAAATTCCATTAGCAAGAAGACCGTGACACAGCAGTTGCCACAATACGCAGTCTCAAGCACGAAATGTCTGATGGGAAGCGCCCAGTGGGGCTTCCTGAATCGTCAATGTGGGTGAACGAGGAAGACTCCACCTTGCACATGGGAGACGAAAAGGTCCTCAAAGCAACCGGGGCGGAGGGCACCCTGAAGGTCGAGTACGGGACCAGATGGGAGGACTACCTCCAGAGCGCAGAGTGGAAGAAGACCATGCAAAAGAGCCGGGACAAACTTTCACGGAGCATTGAGCAGAAAGACGCGGGCAACGGCAAGGGCAAGGGCAGAACATCCCATTAGGGAGCAGCCCGATCAGCTCAGAGTCCAAATGCAGATTTTTCCACGGGTGCCTTTCTGGTATATTGCAAGCATGCAAGAATACACACAGCAGGTCGGCTAATTAATGTTCTCGCCGAGCTTGTGAACGTGCCTTGGGATGCCGTTTGCTTCTCTGAGACACGGGCTCCGACAGGTGTTATTCTCGATGGTGGTCACCGCTTGATTTCCGGACTCGGTGATTCTCGTCATCTTGGCGTTGCCATTCTCTTGCGCAGGCAGCTGGCTGAACAAGTCAGTCGAATTCATATTTCTTCAGGTCGTGTGATGGCAATGATGTGAACATTTACGGAGTGAGCTTCCGAGTCGAGGCGGCATATGCCCCTCACTGTGGCTATGGGCGTGCCGCTCTACAGGAGTTTTATTCTGACTTGCATAGCCAGCTGCACGGAGTGACACATTCTGGACGGCACGTTGTTCCCTACCTAGGCTCTGCCTAGAGGGCTCTTACTCTCTTTCTTAAAGGGGCCGGGCAGTGTTCCTCGGGCGGTTCCCCCAGTCCCCGCCCCGCGGTTCCCCCAGTTGCGCCCCCTGGGTTCACCCAGCTAAGCTAAGCTAAGGTAAGCTAAGCTAGGCTAGGCTAGGCTAGGCAAAGCTAAGCAAGCTAAGCTAAGCTAAGCTTAGCTAAGCTAAGCTAAGCTAAGCTTATCTCATCTTAGCTCAGCATAGCTTAGCTTAGCTCGTCTTAGCTTGGCTTAATTTAGCCTAGCCTAGCTTAGTTTAGCTAAGCTTAGCTTAGCTTAGCGCAGCATAGCGCAGCGCAGCATTAGCACATCATAGCCAATCATAGCATAACATAGCACAGCTCAACATAGCATATCATACCATAGCATAGCGCGGCATATCATAGTACATCATATCATAGCATTGCTTAGCATAGCACAGCGCAGCATATCATAGCAGAGCACGGCACATCATAACATAACATAGCGCAGCATAGCATATCATAGCATTGCATAGCGCATCATAACATATCATATCATAGCCTACCATATCATAGCGCAGCATATCATATCATAGCATAGCATAGCGCAGCATAGCATAGCATAGAACAGCGCATCATATCATAGCACAGCACAGCCTAACATAACACAGCGCAGCCGAGCGTACCCTAGCACAGCATAGCATAGCGCACCATAGCAAAGCATAGCATAGCATAGCGCAGCATATCATAGCATAACATAGCATAGCCGCAAAACAAAGGCAACTCAACAGCAGCAACAGCAAAGCAAAGCACAAGCAACGCCAATGCAAAGCAACAACAAAACCAATGCGAACGTGTACATATAGATGTATATGTAGGTGTAGATGTGGATGTAGGAGAGAGCGTGATCCACCGCCGCTTTACTGTGGAAAATTGCCGCCCTTTTCCTCCAGAACCCGGGGTTCCCCCCCCCCCCCCCGAAAATCCCCCCCCTCCTGGAACCCCCCCCCCCCCCCCCCCCCGGCAAAACCCCCCCCCTCCCCTAACCCCCCCCCCTCCTCGAAAACTACCGGTTCGACCCCCCCCCCTCGAAAACCGAGGGGGGGTACCGGTTCGAACCCCTCCCCACCTCCCCTCTCACCTCCAGCAAACGACTCCCGGTCCCTACCACCGTCCTCACCACATCCCCCACTGTTGTTCCCAGCGCCACTGTCCTCACCACCACTGTCCCCACTGGTTCCACCACCGCCCCTACTGTCCCCACCAGTGCCACCACCACTGTCGCACTGTCCCCCACTGTCCCCACCACTGTTCCCACCACGGTTCCACTCTCCCAACTTTCTCCACGACTATCCCCACTGTCCCCACTGTCCCACTGACTCCTCCGCTGTCCCACTGAGCTGTCCCACTGTTCCCACCACTGTCCCCACTGTCCCCACCACTGTCCCCACTGTACCTCTGTCCCATTTTCCCACTGCCGTCCTCGCCACCGCCTTCACTACTGTCCCCACCACCACTGTACCCTCCACTGTCCCACTGTTTCCACCACATTCCCACTGTCCCCACACCACTGTCCCCACCACCACCGTCCCCACCACTGTCCCACTGTCCCCACTGTTCCCACCATTGTCCTCCCCATTGTCCCCACCACTACCGTCCCCACCACTGTCCCACTGTCCCCACCTGCAGCTGGATTCGCGCCCCCTGGGGAGGCACCCGAGCGCGCTGAGTGCGCGCTGAGTCCTGAAGGGGGCAGTCCGGAAGTGAAGGGGGAGACCAAGTGCACCAGCATTGCTGGACTCACACTGGGGCCGTGGGAGACGCCTTCATGAGGCGAGCCAGGAGGAGACTGGCAAAAGGACCTCGAGAAGCCCGTCGTTGGGGGCAGCATCCCTGGGGCGGTCTCCGGGCCCTCCTGGGAGGGCGAGCCGTCTTGGTCGGCAGGGCAAACCGCGGGTGGAATCAACGAGCTTTCGCGCGAGGGGCCGTGCTGGAGGCGGGTCCGTGAAGGGGGCCGCAGTTTCCGATGTGGTTCCCGCCCATGTCTCCTGCCAGGCACGCGAGTATCTGGCGCCAGCGATGCCCTGGCCTCCGTCGCGGGGGGAGGTAGATTGTAAGCCACGTCGGTAGGGGGAGCCGTACCTCCTGCCGCCTGAGGTGGGCTGTGCCCTGGTGCAGGCTCGTCACGCTGGGGGCTGCTCCTGCGATGCTGCCGCTACTGGGCCGCGCCGTCGTTCTGTCCGCCCCCCGACAGGTGTGGCGAGCTGACGCCGGACGCGGCTGCCCATCATGGGAGGGCAGTCGATGGGGTTAAGGTTGTCGCGGATCTCTAGGTCCGAGGACATGCCTGGGGGCCCGGAGGGGCTCCGCTCCGCCGGGGGGTACAGGTTGAATACCTCGTAATCAGTGCTGTCGTCTGCCAGCCTGCGGGTCTGCCTGTGCACGGGGCCCTGCTGCGCGTCGCAATCAGTGCTGCCACTTTGGGGAACCGCCATGCCCGCGGGCTGGATCAGGACGCTGAGCCCCAGGGGCTGAGCGGGAGCCCCGTCAAGCTGCAATGATGTCGGGGGAAAGTTGGTCTGACCCCGCAGCCCCATCACGAGTGGTAGCTCCCGAACTGGCACTCAGAGGGGGCCTGGGGGAACGCAGACGCGAACATTCGGCACATCCCTCACTAACTTCCGCGGTCCTGGTGGGGGGGTCACGTCCAGGGAGGTCCCGCGGGGGTCCATGGCTGGGCCGCCGACCAGCAGGGGGGACCGGGCGACAGCCGCGAGGGCTGCGCTGCGCGGGCGCGGGGACGGGATCCCTTGCGTCGGGCGCCCCCTTGAGTGCGGGAGACCCCGACGGGGGGCCCGCTCGCGGCTTGAGCCCGGTTTGAGCCAAGGGGGGTTCGGACACACACACGCACACAAACACACAAACACACAAACACACACAAACACAAATATACACACTCACACACACGCGCACACACGCACACCCGCACACCCGCACACCCGCACACACGCACACACACACAAACACACACAGACACACAGACACACACGCACACGCACACGCACACGCACACGCACACGCACACGCACACGCACACGCACACGCACACGCACACGCACACGCATGCGCACGCGCACGCGCACGCGCACGCGCACGCGCACGCGCACACGCGCGCACGAACGCACGCATGCACGCACGCACGCACGCACGCATGCACGCGCGCACGCACGCACGCACGCACGTTCGCGCGCGCACGCGCACGCGCACGCGCACGCGCACGCGCACGCGCACGCACATGCGCACGCTCACGCGCACGCGCACGCGCACGCATATGCACAGCCACAGCCACAGCCACAGCCGCAGCCACAGACACAGCCACAGTCACACACACGCACACACACCCACCCACACACACACACACACAGACACAGACACAGACACAGACACAGACACAGACACAGACACAGACACAGACACACACACACACACACACACACGCACACATCCAGACACGCGCACACACACACCCATACCCACACCCACATACCCACACACACACACACCCACACACCCACACACCCACACACCGAGACAAACACACCCACACACACCCACACACACACACACCCATTCTCCAACACACACACACACACACACACACTCGCCAACATTCACACAGACACACACACACACCCACAACCACACCCACACCCACACACCCACACACCCATACACCCACATACCCACACACACACACCCACACCCACACAGACCCACACAAACCCACACACACACACACACACACCCACACACATCCCCCCACCACCACACACATACACACACACACGCACACACAACACACACACACACACCCACACACACACACACACCACACACACAAACACACGCACCCACACAAACACACACAAACCCACACACAAACACACACACACACACACATACACACAAACACACACACATACACAGAAACACACACACACAAACACACACACACACACGCACACACACAAACACACACACACACAAACACACACCGTGTGTGTGGGTATGGTACAATTGTAGAGGCCCGAACGGTGGTAACATTCTAGAGACGCCACTCCTCTTCGGATAGCCGAAAAGGGCGGGGGGGCACGTAGAGGCCGCGCGGAAACACTGTTTTCTCTTACACTGAAAGTTTTTTTCTCCGATGAAGACACAGCAGCTGAGGGCCCCTTAAACGCGACCCGGGGGCGAGGAGCCACCCAGACTTTCGGCGACAGCCGAACGCCTCATGTACACTATGGTACCAGTCCTCTACTGCAAAGCGTTCTGACAGAGCCTGCTGAATACGACATCGTTACAGTTCCCCGGCAAGGACGGAAGCAAAAACTTGAAATGGCCCCGGACTTGGGACCCCGGCGGAGGGGCAGAAGACGAAGAGAAAACGAGAACGGACCGCGGCGCCGTGTGTGCATCAATCCCCACATGGTCAAAACGACCACTTATGTAATGAGGCCTCAGACAACGAGTCCATAACGGGTGACGCACAATGCATACTCAGTCAAAGCCCGCGCGGCGGCGTGGCTGATAAGAAACAACCCCAAAATCCTACCACGTCGGAGGCGGGAGCGGGAAGGGGACGAGCGCGAGGAAGGAGACGGAGCTCCACAAGCTGCAAGGGAGACGCATGAGGGTGAAAGCGGTTGGGTGCAGACACTCGCCAACTAAAACAAGACATTCGAACGAGGGCACACGGGCGCTCAAGCGCCCAGCACCGCGCATAACCATGACGGTGACGGCGTCAGGGCAAGCCTGGCGCGTGGCCAGAGGCCAGGGTCAACCAGCAGCGGGCGCAGACAGGTCCACACGCAGTGCTCACACGCGGTGCGCTGTAAAGCAACCGATTAGGGGGAGAGGGGGAGAACCAAGGATTTGACATCAACATCCAAGGTGAGAGCCCGCCCAGACAATTAGGGCAGGCAGGCTGGCCAGAGCCAGCAAAATTCAAACACCTGCAAAGAGAGGAAAGGCGGAAAGCCACATGGACATCTCCAGCTGGCTGGAGGATTCCCCGTGGCCAACCGCTTCTCCCCCAGGCGTGAGTCAGAACTGGAATCGCCCTCATCCCGATGCGGCAGCTTCGAGACGAAAAGGGCCTTCGCCTTCAACTCCTGAAGAGCGGGCGAGGCCTCCTGCGACACGTGGCCAGTGGCCTGAGACAGCGACGGCGGGCCCCTCGGTGGACCACTCGCCGCAGCCAGGAGACGTCGTGCGATGGCCGCACGGCGTCTCCCTCGCGCTTCCTCCTCCTCCGAGGCCGAGGTGGGGGGAGGCTCAGACGACGGGGCGGGGACCTCCTCCTCCTCCGCGTCTGGGACAAAACCAAAAGAGTGCCTTCCCCAGGGGCCACGCTCCACTGTGACCTCTGGGCGCTTGGGGTGCCGTCCTCTGCGGATGGGCCACCAATTATTGTAAAAAGTAGACCTGGTCGGTCCCACGCACCTTCCACCCAGCCCAGCCACTCTGCCATGAGAAGAGTAGCAGAAGCACTTCGTGCACACAACCAACGAGGCCTGATCATAGCACGACAACGTAATGCAAGAGTGGCCCCTTTTCTCAAGCGCACCAGCTTCAAGCCCCGAGATCGGCTGACACAGAGGAGCACACGGGGGCGGGCCGTCGGTGGGAGATCGACTGACTCTGCCGCAGGCCGTGCATTTCCAAAATCCTGGGGAGGAAGCCAACTGTGCATTCTGAATTATCGTCCACTGGCACCTAGTAGACGTCGAATTCACAGCAAATGAGACCGTCGGCTTAGTCCAGGAAACTTCACTGAGGTCTAGGCGCGGCCAACTAGGAAGCACTTTCGCCGCTAGCTGACACACAGCACGAGACAATTTGATGTCGGGATCCAACCTATCTCGGTCCTCCGCAGAAGGCTGCGGGTGACCAAGGTATCCTTCACCGCCAGAAGGTTTTTTAGCACCGACATCAGCATGATGATTCCCAAACCGGCACATCTTATCAAATTCGGAGGTCCATTCATCGAGAGACTGATGCGCTTTGACTTTGTGGAGGGCGTTTACCTTCCACATTTCATGCAAAAGAGACAACGAGAAACCACTGTAGCAACGTTTCGGCGACAGCTGATCCTCGGGTTGCAAAGAAAAGTGATCCTTGACCAGCTGCGCGTCAGTGTAAAAATCCGACGGAGCATTCGTGAAAAGGACTGCTTGGCAGAAGGCGGCACGGGGCCATGCACCATGGCCCGCAAGTCGCCCGACTGGTCAACAACTGCGAAGCACCATCCAGCACGTGAAAGCTCACGCACCACATGCTTTGAGGCACTCCCGTCAGTGAAAACGTGCCCGGTGAAATCAAAACTCTGGGGGTCCTGGGGGAGCCCTTCAGGAGCAAAGAATGCGCCAGAGGGCTCCCCCGAGGGCTTGGGAAAATACTCCCCGGGATGCGCAAAGGAACCGAAACGCGAAAGCACACTGTCAGGCTCCTGCAAGGCTCTCTGGATGACTTCTGGCTCCACGAGGCTCTCACGAAACTCCTGGACGTCTGGGCACCTGCAGACCCACAAGCGGTGGTGGAGGGTGTCGGGGGCGGTTCCACACTTGTCGCACATAACGCTGACATCGTACCCAAGGTCCCTGGTTTTTTGACGAGTCCACACAGCGTTAGTGGCAGCAGCCCTGATGCAGCCCTTCTCGAAGGCCGAGAACCTTTTGCTACGCAGACAATGTTTAACCACGTCGAAGCACAGACGATGAGGAACATCCCACTTCGCCCCAGCATCCCACTCCAATCCTCGAAAAACAGCAGCCCGAAGATGGAGGCGCATGAGCTGGGGAGAGATGAGGGTCAGGGAGAGGATCACCCCTTGGTCCGTAACAAAGGTGGCGAAGTCCCTCATCGTCCAGGAGATCCTCTCCAGGGACTTGCGCATGGCGGCGACGGGGCCTCCAACAGTTCGCCATGAGCAAGGGGGGAGAACCAAGGAGGGAGGAGGAGAAGAGGAAGAGGACGAGGAACGCTGACTGCATCACCCTGCGCTGACTGCAACGCCCCGTGGCGACCTAAACGGTCGCCGCCAGGCGGGCCGGGGCCGCGCACAGAACTCACATCGACACGTCGCACCCGCAGAGGTCCGCCACGTTCTTCCGCACCCGGCCGTGCTGCTCCACGCCGCGCTGCAAGTACCCGTGGCGCAGCGCCACGACGTGGTCTGGCACGATTCCGACACACGTCCTCGGGCTGCCGTGGCGGCTGCGGCTGCGTCTGCAGGTGCCAGGTCTGCACGGCGCTGCTGGTGCTTGGTGCTGCCGCCTTCGGTGCTGGGGTCGGCTGCTGGCGACGGTGCTGGTGTTGGCGACGGTGCTGGTGTTGGCGTCGGCGTTGGTGCTGGCGTTCATGCCGGCGTAGGCGCCGGCGTTGGTGCTGTCGTCGGTGCTTGCGTCGACGGTGGCGTAGGCTCTGGCGTTGGTGCCGGCATAGGCGCGGGCGTTGGCGCTGGCGTCGATGCTGGCGTTGGTGCTGGTGTAGGCGCTGGCGCGCATGCCGGCGATGCTGGTGCCAGCACTGGTGCAGGTGATGGCGTTGGTGCCGGCGGAGGCGCACGCGTGGATGCTGGCGTAGGCACTGGCGCTGGTGCCAGCGTAGGCGCGGGCGCTGGTGCCGGCGTCGATGCTGGCGCTGGTGCTGCAGTAGGCGCTGGCGTTCATGCCGGCGGAGGCGCCGGCGTTGGTGCTGTCGCCGGTACTGGCGTCGACGTTGGCGTAGGCTCTGGCGTTGGTGCCGGCGTAGGCGCAGGCGTTGGCGCTGGCGTCGATGCTGGCGCTGGTGCTGGTGGCGCTGGCGCTCATGCCGGCGATATTGGTGTCGGCACTGGTGTAGGTGATGGCGTTGGTGCCGGCGGAGGCGCACGCGTGGACGCTGGCGTTGGCACTGGCGCTGGTGCCGGCGTAGGCGCGGGCGCCGGTGCCGGCGTCGATGCTGGCCCTGGTGCCGGCGTAGGCGCTGGCGTTCATGCCGGCGTAGGCGCCGCCGTTGGTGCTGTCGTCAGTGCTGGCGCCGAAGGTGGCGTAGGCTCTGGCGTTGGTGCCGGCGTAGGCGCGGGCGCTGGTGCCGGCATCGATGCTGGCGCTGGTGCTGATGTAGGCGCTGGCGTTCATGCCGTCGTAGGCGTCGGCGTTGGTGATATCGTCGGTGCTGGCGTCGACGTACGTAGGCGCTGGCGTTGGTGCCGGCGGAGTCGCGAGCGTTGGCGCTGGCGTCGATGCCGGCGCTGGTGCTGTGGCGTAGGCGCTGGCGCTCATGCCGGCGTAGGCGCTGGCGTTCGTGCTGTCGTCGGTGCCGGCGTCGACGGTGGCGTAGTAGGCTCTGGCGCTGGTGCCGGCGTAGGCGCGGGCGTTGGCGCTGGCGTCGATGCTGGCCCTGGTGCTGGAGTAGGCGCGGGCGCTCATGCCGGCAGTGCTGGTGTCGGCACTGGTGTAGGTGATGGCGTTGGTGCCGGCGGAGGCGCACGCGTGGATGCCGGCGTAGGCCCTGGCGCTGGTGCCGGCGTTGGCGCGGGCGCCGGAGCCGGCGTCGATGCTGGCGCTGGTGCTGGTGTAGGCGCTGGCGTTCATGCCGGCGTAGGCGCCGGCGTTGGTGCTGTCGTCGGTGCTGGCGTCGACGGTGGCGTAGGCTCTGGCGTTGGTGCCGGCGTAGGCGCAGGCGTTGGCGCTGGCGTCGATGCTGGCGCTGGTGCTGGTGTAGGCGCTGGCGCTCATGCCGGCGATGCTGGTGTCGGCACTGGCGTTGGCACTGGCGCTGGTGCCGGCGTAGGCGCGGGCGCCGGTGCCGGCGTCGATGCTGGCGCTGGTGCTGATGTAGGCGCTGGCGTTCATGCCGGCATAGGCGCCGGCGTTGGTGCAATCGTCGGTGCTGGCGCCGACGGTGGCGTAGGCTCTGGCGTTGGTGCCGGCGTAGGCGCGGGCGCTGGTGCCGGCATCGATGCTGGCGCTGGTGCTGATGTAGGCGCTGGCGTTCATGCCGTCGTAGGCGTCGGCGTTGGTGATATCGTCGGTGCTGGCGTCGACGGTGGCGTAGGCGCTGGCGTTGGTGCCGGCGGAGTCGCGAGCGTTGGCGCTGGCGTCGATGCCGGCGCTGGTGCTGTGGCGTAGGCGCTGGCGCTCATGCCGGCGTAGGCGCTGGCGTTCGTGCTGTCGTCGGTGCCGGCGTCGACGGTGGCGTAGTAGGCTCTGGCGCTGGTGCCGGCGTAGGCGCGGGCGTTGGCGCTGGCGTCGATGCTGGCCCTGGTGCTGGAGTAGGCGCGGGCGCTCATGCCGGCGATGCTGGTGTCGGCACTGGTGTAGGTGATGGCGTTGGTGCCGGCGGAGGCGCACGCGTGGATGCCGGCGTAGGCCCTGGCGCTGGTGCCGGCGTTGGCGCGGGCGCCGGAGCCGGCGTCGATGCTGGCGCTGGTGCTGGTGTAGGCGCTGGCGTTCATGCCGGCGTAGGCGCCGGCGTTGGTGCTGTCGTCGGTGCTGGCGTCGACGGTGGCGTAGGCTCTGGCGTTGGTGCCGGCGTAGGCGCAGGCGTTGGCGTCGATGCTGGCGCTGGTGCTGGTGTAGGCGCTGGCGCTCATGCCGGCGATGCTGGTGTCGGCGCTGGTGCAGGTGATGGCGTTGGTGCCGGCGGAGGCGCACGCGTGGACGCCGGCATGGGCAATGGCGCTGGTGCCGGCGTAGGCGCGGGAGCTGGTGCAGGCGTCGATGCTGGCGCTGGTGCTGGTGTAGGCGCAGGCGTTCATGCTGGCGTAGGCGTCGGTGTTGGCGCTGGCGTCGGTGCTGGCGTCGACGGTGGCGTAGGCACTGACATTGGTGCAGGCGTAGGCGCAGGCGTTGGCGCTGGCGTCGATGCTGGCGCTGCACTGGTGGCGCTGGCGCTCATGCCGGCGATGCTGGTGTCGGCACTGGTGTAGGTGATGGCGTTGGTGCCAGCGGAGGCGCACGCGTGGATGCCGGCGTGGGCACTGGCGCTGGTGCCGGCGTAGGCGCCGGCGCTGGTGCCGGCGTCGATGCTGGCGCTGGTGCTGCAGTAGGCGCTGGCGTTCATGCCGGCGTAGGCGCTGGCGTTGGTGCTGTAGTCGATCGGTGCTGGCGTCGACGGTGGCGTAGTAGGCTCTGGCGTTGGTGCCGGCGTAGGCGCGGGCGTTGGCGCTGGCGTCGATGCTGGCGTTGGTGCTGGTGTAGGCGCTGGCGCTCATGCCGGCGATGCTGGTGTCGGCACTGGTGTATGTGATGGCGTTGATGCCGGCGGAGGCGCACGCGTGGACGCCGGCGTAGGCACTGGCGCTGGTGCCAGCGTAGGCGCGGGCGCTGGTGCAGGCGTCGATGCTGGCGCTGGTGATGGTGTAGGCGCTGGCGTTCATGCCGGCGTAGGCGCCAGCGTTGGTGCTGTCGTCGGTGCTGGCGCCGACGGTGGCGAAGGCTCTGGCGTTGGTGCAGGCGTAGGCGCAGGCGTTGGCGCTGGCGACGATGCTGGCGGTGGTGCTGGTGTAGGCGCTGGCGTTCAAATCCTCCTGCTGCTGAGGCGGCGATGGCTGTCGGCTGCAATGATGCTGGTACCCGTCACGGTGTGCATGTACTCGTCCTCTACTGGATGTCGGGGTACTGCGACGGGATGGGTGCGTCAGTCTGGCCAGAAGCAAGGATATCGCCACACAGTGCTGGTCACTCGTAACGGTCTGAACGACATGCAAAGCCAGCGAGCCAAGACTCCGAAACAAGGATGCCGCCACACAGTGGGATCCAGGTGGTGGCCGTCGGATCCCTATCCTGGAGTTGCTGGCCGTCGTGGACGGCCGATTCAGGAGGATGGGCTGGCAACACTGAAAGTACTCCGAATCATATTTGAATCCTCCGTTGTGGGAAGCGAAACACCCCTGGCGCGGACTCAAATCCTAAGAGACACCCGAGCCTGCCTGTGTGGGTAGGCCCTAGGAGTAGGCCTAGGGTAGCCTAGGGGTGGGCCCTAGGGGTAGGCCTAAGGGAACCCTAGGGGTAGGCCCAAGGGGTAGGCCTAGGGTAACCCCAGGGGTAGGCCCTAGGGGTAGGCCTAGGGGTAGGGCCTAGGAATAGGCCTAGGGTAGCCCTACGGGTAGGCCCTGGGGGTAGGCCTAGGGCAGCCCTAGGGGTAGGGCCTAGGAGTAGGCCTAGGGGTAGGTCGTAGGGGTAGGCCCTAGGGGTAGGCCTAGGGTATCCCCAAGGGTAGGCGCTCGGGGTAGGCCTAGGGGTAGGTCGTAGGGTTCGGCCCTAGGGGTAGGCCCTAGGGGTAGCCTAGGAGTAGGCCTAGGGGAGCACTAGGGGTAGGCCTTAGGGGTAGGCCTTAGGGGTAGGCTTAGGGTAGCGCCAGGGGCAGGCTCTAGGAGTAGGTTTAGGATAGCTCTAGGGGTAGGCCGTAAGGGTAGGCCTAGGGTAGACCTTCCTTCCGGGGTCTAGAAAGTCCTTGACCACTCTGAAGACGTTTCCGCCCTCCTCGAGGAAAATACTCCCTTTCGCGCCAGCGAGCGTGATCCAGCCCTCGAGGCCGTCCTTCATGACCCTGGCCCGGATGCGCACGACGTCGAAAGTTTCGTCTTTGACTGGGCCCTCGAGAAGCTCGATAATTTCTCCAACCTCGATGCGCCTCAAAGTCTTGCTGCCCTTGATGCCCTCGACATCTGTCATGGCTGCATCCTTCACAACCTTGTAAAACACGCGGACGACGTGTCGGAACAGCTCTTTGGATACGGCACCTCCGCTCTCCTTGTCCAGGAGATGGGCGAAGAGCCTCGAGAGAGCCTCTGGCGCGAGCTCCGCTCCGAAACCGGCGGGCTCGACGCCCTCGGCAGGGGCGGGGGCGTCGCCCTGTGCGGGGGCGACGTCCAGGGCGAGGGTCGGGTCCCTTTTGGGGACGACGGCCGTCTTGAAGAAGCCGGCGAACTCCTGCTCGTCAATCTTGCCGTCGCCGCCCGCGTCGAGGGCGTCGAAGAGCTGCTCGGCGGTTAGGCTCTTGATGGCCTGGTTGTGCCGGATGATCTTCACCGCGGTGCTGCGCAGCCCGTCCAACTCCTTCATGCGCTTCGCCGCGGCCCTCTCGCGGAACGCGGCGGCCACGCCCGCGGCGCGGGACAGCTGCGCGTCCGCCCGCTCCAGGCGGGCCAGGAGGCCCCGAGTGGCGCTCTCGAGGTGGCCGGCGAGGTCCTCCTTGAAGTCCGCGTCCACGACGTCGCCCAGGTCGTCGAACTGCGCCCGCGCGTCAGCGACGGCGGCTCGCGTCTGCCTGATCAGGGTGTCGACCTCGTCCGCATGGGTGATCATCTCGCTGGCGGGCGCGCTTGCGGCCTTGTCCTCCAAGGAGGTGGCCAGCTGCTCGGCCCGCTTCGCCTCCTCCTCATGCCCGACTTAAGCCTGGTCAGGACTCTCCTGGGCCCTGGCGGGGTGCACGCGCCCTCCAGGGCCAAAGCCAGGAGGCTCCAGGGCCCGGCCGGGACGGCGGTGCACGGACGGCCTCTCCGCAGCCCTGGAGGCATCAGAGCGCGGCATGCGCACAGAGTGCCGGACGTCCGCGCGGATCTCCGTGGCCGGCGCTGACCCCCCGCGCGCGCGAAGCGTGCCAGGGGCACCGCCAGGGGGGGGCCCAGCGCCGACCAGGAGGTCCGACGACCACCTCTGAAAGTTCACCTGCGTGCAGCGTTATGTTCCCCGCGGACCGCGGTTCGGACAAAAGGCGCCCCGACCTCCTGACTCAGAGAAATGGGGTCCGAGTACATTGGGTCGGAAGATCGTGCCGCATCGCCGTTACATCGGCGATGCGTTGGCGACGTCGGCGATGCATCGGCACCATCGGCGTGGGGAAAATCTGGCACCACATCGAGCTGCGTCGGCGACGCATCGGCGATACGGCAAGATCCTCCGATCCATTCACTCCAGCCCCATCCTGGGAGACAAAAAAAGGGCGATACCGCGACTCCCAGGACCTCTGACCCAGGATGCGTTCTGACCACAATGTCGAGTCGTCTCCAGTCGTGGCGACGAGGCTCTCTCAGGAGGCACAAAAAGGCGGAAACGAGGAACACTGAAATCTGACTTTGCAACAACATATGAAACATCGCCAACAAACCACGACCAAAGCCCTGGACCCCATCTCTCTGGCGCATTTTTCAAGTCGGCTCGATAAGTGATCCCCAGGGCCCGAAGCCCAGCGAAAACGCCCGTTACGAAAACGCTGCAGCACCTGGGTCTCGGGAAAGGGTACGTAGCGGCAGGGCGTGGGCTAAACCATGTTTTCCGTTTGCGTATTGTTGTCGTTTTCCCTCGTTCTGTCGTCGTTCCGCCTTTGCCGCAGAACGAAATCAAAACGAGAACGGCCGATGACATCGCCAAAACACTATTTAGCTCGAGCCCTGCGTGGCGGTATGGGTGCCTGCCTGTAGGGCGGAAGTGTTGGGAAGGGCAAGGAGATGAAGGCGCTATAGGTATGGGTGCGGGTTGTCGGACCCCGAGAGGGGCTCCCGTTCGAGCGGAGGCCCCCATCCGACAATACACACCCATGGCCCCCCCCACAGAATCCCACCAGCCCTCTGGGCGTAGGTGGTCTAGAGAACCTCCTCTTCCAACCCCCTTCTTCCCCTTCGGGGAGGGGTTTATCAGTGTTCCCTATTAATAAACACCCCCTCCCCCACCTGGCTGACAGCCAACCCGGAACCATGCGGGCACCCCTCCACCATCCCTTTCAAAAACAATACCAAATGCATATTGCGGGGCCCACCCTGCCAACACTCCACAAGCCCATTGCAGCAAAATCTGGACAGTGCGCTGGCGCCCTGTGAGCACGTTGTATTGTTTTTTGACAGGGATGGCGGGGCAACCCTTAGTCGCTTCGTGCAGGACCACCATCCGTGTCCAAAACAATGCAAAGTGCACGTTGCGACAACGTCGTGGGTATTGTGCTGGCCACCCGCGATCACTTTGAACTGTTTTTTGACAGGGACGGCGGTGGTGCCCGCATGATGACGCTTGTTGTGCGCAGGCCCAGAACAATGCTGACGCCCCCCCACATCAGCATCTGGACCATGCGGGCGGGGGGGCATCACGTGTTTTACAAGGATGGCACACCAACCACATGTGGAGCCCGCGGCGAGCGTCGCGTACCTGGCGTCCGCTTTGGTTCCCAGTGGCTGTCCATCCAGTGGCGACCCCTGGCTATGCCGAGACTCGGATGCCACTTATGTTGTGGGAGGGCGGGTGGGAATGAGCTGGACGGCTTGCGGCTTGCGGGGGGGGAAGGGGTCTTAACCCCTCCCCCCTACCCCCACCCCCTCCCCTGGACCTGGAGGGGGGGGGTTCGCGAGGCGTTGGAGCGTCCAAGATGTCCCAAGATGGCTCCAAGAGGGACTCAGAGAGCCCCAGATGACCTCCGAGATGGCTCAAGATAGCAGCCTAAGATGGCTACATATGGCACCCAAGATGCTCCAAGAGGCTCCAAAAACGCTCTAAGACTGCTCAAGATGCTCCAAGAGGCTCCAAAAAAGCTCTAAGACTGCTCAAAGATGTCTCCGAGACTTCCCAGAAGGCCACCAAGACCCTAATATTCGTCAAGACCATATAGAACATCAGTGAATTGTGCCTTCTCGCCTTGTCGCTTCCGATGGCCTTCCGAGGCCTCAAGACAGCTCCAAGCAAGCCCATGAGGGCCCCAAGAGAGGCCCAAGAGAGCCCCAAGACGGCCCCAAGAGCGCCCAAGAGCGCTCCAAGAGCGCCCAAGTGGGGGCTCCCGAGGGGGGGTCGTACTTATTGCTCCCATCTTTTTTGGTCGATCTCCTCCAAGATGGCCCAAAGAGCGCTCCCAAGGCTCCTTTTGTTGTGGTTGATTGCGACACGGTGCCTATGCCGTAGACGCCTTCGGCCGGAGGCCGAGAAAGTAGTTAGGGGTTAAGCAGATGCCACCCTGGAGCCGCCTCGTGGCAGCTCCCAAGGCTCCCACGAGCGCCTTAAGAGGGCCCCAAGAGGCGCCCAGGAGGCCCCACGATGCACCCAAGAGGTCTCCAAGCGGCTCCCAAGCCAAGAGCCCTCCAAGAGGTACACTTCCTCTGTGTGCTGCCCACTTCCCTGATCGAGGCAACTCCTCTGGGCATCGTCTCTGGATGGGCTGGTGGGGTTACGCGAAGCGTCAAGAATTCCACCCCGAGAAATCTTGGGGTCGCAAATGTGTGGGTCCTCCGCGCCGCCCAGGGCGTCGGTGACCTCCTTGGACTTCTCCTCCAATTCGGCCCTCGTCGCCTCCAGGGCTCTAAGGCGCTCCTCACGTTCCGTGCGCCGCCGCGCGCTCCTATCCGAGAATCTATGGATTCGGCTTGTGTTGGGGATTCGGTTTTCTGCGATGTATGGG